CCCAAAAAAACACACAAGGTAAAGCCCGAATCTGCATGCCAAAACCTCCGGATTGCCATCATCCATCCCTCGGCTGCATCTGTCATCCGTTTCACTTTCTCTGTTTTCTTTCATGTGAAGGCTTGCTTCTATCATCAGTAGCCGAGGCTACCACACCTATCTGGGGCATCGCATTGACTCATTGTACCTCTGGCTTGGCTGAGGGAGGGCTTTAAGCAATTCGCATTATTTGTGAAAGCTCACTCTACAGAACAGATGCGATCACATCTGATTTCGTACACAAGAAAATCCCACGGGTTTCTGTGAGGAATCGTTGCTGCATGCATGCTCTTTTAACAAAAGAATGATCAACACTTGCATTCATTCCTTCACTGAACACGTGCTTACAGGGGAAACAACTGCCTTTTGTCAAAAGAATATATAAATTATAGCTTTACTCCTATAATGAGACTGTTTATGGCACGTTGTATTTAATATGTAGAAATCCTCTTTTACAATTGTTTTGATATACGCCTATAATTATTGGTCTTAATGGCAAGCATCTAACATCCATGCATCTAACATGATGGGTGACAGTCAGGCAGGTAGAGACAGCACCCATTATGTCTGCCAGGTTTGGTGTCACAACACAGGAGCCCCTACACACATGTTTCCGACCACCGCCTATATTGGTTAAGAAGAAGGAGGGGCTTAAGAAGAAGTTTTTGGCAAGGCTGGCAAGAAGGGAGACGGAAGATTAAAGGTGATGCAACTTTAAAAAAAAGAAGCTAATAGTGGCGGACAAAAAAAACGGCAAACTGAGAGCAACAGCAGAGGGATCTCCTCCATGCCGCGGTAAGAAGCTTTCTCATAAACAAGAGAGTTTGTTGTGTTTCAGTTTAGTTGTGGTTTAACTAAGTAGTATGCGGCTTCGGGGGGGTCAACAGACCATCTGCTATGATGTGATAATTCCCTCTTTAAGGAGCAACCTAGTGTTTGATGTTGAGTCTGTTCTACAATGACAATCGATGTATTGGTAGCATTTAAACACGTGTCAGTGAAGGGGACACTCAGTTGAACCCATGCCAAGTGATCCATATTGTGATGCTGACTTTTGAAATACGTTATTTTATCTCAGCGCGGCGAACCACGTGGCACTAGCCGTGGCCCCCTCCCCTTGTTGTGACGCTACGTAAGAAGGAGAGTAGATTACTTTCATAACGGGAGATCTACTTTGTAGTATTCCCTAAAATGCTATATATTACATTCTTTATATTCAAGGATCAACTACAACATTTGTTATGATATTGAAATGAAAAGAAAAACTACAGAACTCTAATGAAGACACACCAGCCAACATAATTTAAACAATAACAACAAAGCAGATCGCACTATTTTCGCTCTCAACACTATTGCTAATACCTCAACTCAGAATATTAGTCACTTCTCAGTATCTAAAATCTGTTTTTTCTTCAAATTTGCATTTGTATCGATTTGATATCAACACCAACACTTCTATTAAATCATCAGACTTGAATATATCTCAAATATAACTGATCACAAAAATAAATACTGAATAATTGATAATGAAATGCATGACATAAACAAAATACATGTTTCAGTTGTATTACTGGTCCAGCAAATTGGCAGCTCCAATGATTGGTAAAAGTAGGGTCGGCTGTACTTTTGCATGCATGAATGGCAGCTTCCCAAGCCCCCAACACACGCGACCACCCCCATCGCACTATCCATATGCACACACAGAGGGGCCTTCTTTCATCCCGCTTTAGAGTTCACTGTTTGCTTTCCTTGTGCGGTATCTGTAGGTAGCACACCATTTTGCTTCAGTCTAAAGGTTGTGGAGTTAAGTATCAGCATTTGTTGCCAGACCATCATATTCTTGTCTTTCAACAGACATACACTCTTACAATTAGAAATGAAAGTTTAATCAAGTCACCACGGATGGCCAGTTTTAATTATGTGCAAGTAGTCCATGGCTGATTATTTTAAAACAGCAAAATGAGGACACATGGTGTACCAAAAACAAGAGTGTAACCTAAAGATAAAGTACACCCATTCATGCCACTTCATGGGGAGGAACCAAGTGATTAGAGAATTCTGTATAAAGTTGATCGGATAAGTGATTCTTGACAACACTGAAGCAGCACCAATGGGGGCAAGGCAATCTCTGAAATGGCATGCGTTCAAAGTGGCCATGCTGACCACTTCTTGAGTATGTGCACTGAATGGTCAGAGTTTTTTTTAAATCATATTTTCATTGATTATAATTCCCCCCAAAAATCCACGTTGCTAGAGTTTTTTTACTGATTTATTTAGTGCCATCATTCCATCATCACTTATCTGTATCAGCTGTAAACATCATTAGATTGTCACGATTGAAAATCCTGATATGTGCATTTTTAAATCCCCTATCTTCTCATTCCCAATGCCATTTCCTTATTGTAAGAATTCCTTATTCGTTCAGCTGTCTAACAGCTTGCTATTTACTGGATGCTTAACAAAAGTCTAGAGTTGGTGCTGCTTTGAGTGCTTTCCCAATTCCCAAGTCATATTAACCTTTCTGTGCACAGTGTAAGAAAGACGCTGCCTATCACGACAAAACAGAGCTTGTGTAGTCCCAATCATACTGCTGCATATTGACATTATGGATAATAGACACAGCTGTGCAAGCCTAAAAACACGATTTATTGGAAATGGCAAAAACGGATGCTATTTTTTTCTTGAACCCACTGTGTCATACACCATGTTAGACGGTGAACCAAGGGACCCCACACTGCTGCAGTGTAGATGCAGAGTCCAAATCTAGAAAAAGCTTGTATTATTGTTGGAGCACAGAAGACTTGTGTTTCATCTGTATTTCAGATGAAGGAAACTAATATAAGTGTGTCCCTCTTATGTGTCTTAACCTCAGTTTCTTTTTTTTCTTTGATGATGGCTTAACAAAATTAAGAAAATAACCAAACTAATTATCTTTGAGCTGTGTGCCTCGTGAGTTGCAGTTCTGTGCCTCAAAAGGTCACCCTGTCCCCAGAAAATGGAGCCCTAACAAAGAAATACTCATGACGGCCCGTCCACACGGCGGCGTGCGTTGAAGCTTCAGCGCTTCTTCCCATTCACTTTGAATGGGGTGACGTCATGCTTTGCCGAACTGCATTGTGGTTCCGTCGCTTCGTTTTGCTCGTGTTGCTCCCTTCAAAAGTTGAGAAAAGTTCAACTTTTGAAGCTTCGACGGAAGCGTCAGCCAATCAAATCATATGCCAGTACAAGCTCTAGCCAATCAAACCGCGTGTTTGTGTGTCCGGGGCGGGAGATTCATGTGATTGGTTGTTGGTCGAGTTTCAGACACGCCCACCGGCAAGCTTCAACGCACGCTGCCGTGTGGACGCTGCGTGATGGTTAATGTGTAACCATGTGGCATTCTCCCATTTCTTTTGACCAACAACAGGAGAATAATTCCACAATTCTAATGCATAATTGATATAAGTTGGGCTGACATTAAGCTGCCTAAATTAAAGATTTGTGATGGGGTAAAAACTCAATATGCAAGACTTTGTGAAAGGACCATTAGGCGCTTTCACACCAAGTACTTTCCCCTGGAATAGTTCCCGGAACTTAGTTCCCCGGAACTTTTATTTCCTGGAACTATCTAGTAAATCGCGTTCACACCGGAATAAGTCCCTGATGGAGCCGAGCCGCTGACGTCACTTCTTCTTCTTCTGCTTTGGGTTTACTGGCAGGCTGCAAACAACTTCACGGCGTATACTGCCACCCGAAGTCCCCGGCCGGAAGTCCCCGGAGTTGGGGACTGGCTTCTACTGAAGCCTTCCGAGTAAATCGCCAGAAGCGCCGACACCTCATCACTCCACCGCTCCCATGTATTATTTTGTGTTGCCATAAGTTAGTCTCTCCGTTGGTGCGCTGGGCTAATGCTAATGCTAATAATGCTGATGCGAGCAAAGAAAATGGCGGCTTCACAAAAACTTTTCAGAGTTTTACGGGTCGTGGTTTGCAATTCGCCCAGCCAATCAGAAATTGGAAACTTTTTAGTATGTATTTTAAACAAACACTTGTTGTTCTCGCAACATATCTTCCCAACATGCAAAAAGGTGCTAAAACTCTTTAAGTTTGCAGTCACTGTGACGCAATCAAGTTGTTTGTGGACTACACTCATAATGCCTTGAGTTGGCCATCTTGGTCTTTGGTCGTCACCACCTTGGTTTTTTGGTACAACGGAATGCAGAAAAATACATTTTATGATGATAAAATGTTAGAAATAGTGTTAGGGATTGGAAACACTGTGAATGGGTTAGACATTGACAAAAACACAAAGAACTTTGAAACTGAAATGCACCATGACCAGAAAACACCATTGTAACTACTTTTCAATCAGAAGGTAGTCCTATCTTAAAGCAAACAATGCGCTCCATTCACTCTATTCTAAAAAGGACAATCATTTATAAAAATAAACATTGTGCTGTACTGAAGAAGACTTGAAACTAGTTAAAGAACCATTAACCTTACAGGAAACTGAGAAATATGGGTACTTTTTCTCTTAGACTTTTATACAACCAGACTTGTTGTTCAGTGAAGTGTCCCAATGTTGGATATTGAGTATTAGAGAGAGTTTAAGTTAAAGGTACTTTCTGATTGACTTCCCTTGTAAGACTTTCCTCAGTTGCCGTCTGGGAAAAAGTTGAAAAGGTTGTCTATTGCATGTGGCCTAACATAGCAATAGTATTATCAAATAGAACAAAGCATACCAGAGAAACCAAAAGCCAAATAACTTTGAATAAAATATATAATGTTTGTTCTGGCTTTTATGTCGGTGTCGATTTAAAATCTGCTCCTGGAAGTTTTATTTCGCTGCAACATCCCTTATTAGAGCTGACAGACATGTCAGGTCAACCTCTTACTGCCACTCCTCCTGGGATGGCCCAATAGGCTTGAGTCGACTCTTGCCTTGTGTACATACATTAGTAGAGTCAACCCGTGGGATTGACTCAGAGTGCTGTGACTTGATCACAGACTTCTATCTTCACACCTGTTAGTTTCTCACCGCTCAGCTTGCTTCTTTACTTGATGTAGAAGTTGGGGTTTCCCTTTATATGTTTCGTCTTCAAACATCGTAGGGCGGACGGTAAGATTAACTTTTTAACCTAGTTTTGTTTCTTGTTATCTTTTCATCAATGTGCAGCGTGCTGTGTATGATGGGGCATTTTGGGTCCCTGTACGCTCACGCACATAAATGTGTGTTTGTATGATTGTAACACAATGGTAGCTATATTTGACTACTTTTGTCTCTCCTTTTGCTGGGATGCTTTTAGTACACTGTCTAGGCTTTTTATTCTTTAAGTCGGTGACAGTCAGTTGAAGGGAGACATGCTGCATAGTTTCAGTATTTGACACACTCTCCAGTGTCCACATGACAGCTCAAGATGACTAAGAACTGCAGTATATCAGCGGCAAATAATTGATGTAAGCAGATTATTTAAAATTCGGGAATGATAAAGCATTAAAGTTCTTTCGTCTACAAAAAAAAATTACTTGACATACTTTAAGTATTTCTGTCCTTTCTGTTGTATACCTTTGTAAATTTGATATGTTTGGGATTTGGATTGTTGGTTGAACAAAACAAGCAACGCAAAGTGTCACACTGGGCTCTGGGAAATTGTGACAGATATTGATAAAACAAGAGAATAATCTACAGAACAACAGTTGCAAATAATACATTTTAGAGAAAGATGTTGTTTTACACTTCATCCTGGCTAAATTCTCTAATCCAGTCACAAATTATTGTTTCGGATTAAAATATCATTACAGAAATGTTATATTTAAACAAAAGAAATCCACGCATTTCTACTGTATACAATTATTTTAAACCAATAAAGTAATCAAAAGAAAAATATTTATTGGCTTTAAATGAAAAATACAAATCAAAGGTCAAACTTTGAGGTGACTCACTAACTTGAACTTTTCAGATTAATTCACATATTTTCCTCCCACTTTCTTCTAAATCCGGGCTGTTTTTGAGTGTTCTTTTCCAGTTTGGCTGTCCTACAGCGGTAGTCAGTGAGCAGTCTAAACGTTACCCTAACAGTTAATCTCTCTACACAAAAGGGCACTTTGTTATGGCAGCTGCTTTGCTACAAAATGCAAATCTGTTACTACATGTTTTCCAAATTTTCTCTCGGCAACTTTTCAACAGATTCCCTAGAGTTTTAATTTCTTAGTTACCTTCTTAGTTTATTCAACTCTGAGTGCAAACCATTTTTTTTTTTTACCTCGAAGCAGGTCATGTACAAAGACTGAAGCATTGTGTTGAATGTGACCAAGGGGACAAGAAACTAAAAAAAGTGTTGCCTTTCCCCCCCCCCCACCCCCTTACCCACTCCCCCCCTCCCCCCCCCCCCTCTCTCTGCCTGTCACATGTTCTTTTCACAGCATAGAAAAGTTTCTGGATTAGGGCAGAATTAACACAAAGCGGCGACGCCACTCCAGCTACACTCGCAAAACAACGCAGAAGAGGCACGAGGGGGACCAAGACACTCTTCAAAAACTTCGAAACACACCGATCGCGAGGAAAGGCAGAACGAGTCCATCCCAGAGAGTGAGAGTGAGAGAGAGAGAGACGGCAGCAGAGAGGCAGGGGATCTTTGCCGACAAGGTCCTGAAGGATGGAAGCAAAGCAGTTTGCCGGGATCGTGGTGAGTTGAACTTTTGTTCAGTGACACACACACAGGTGCAGATGTTATACATGGATGCAGCCTCATCTCTGGTGGGATGCAGCTGCTGGACCACCAGTTGAGTCTCACTCCCCTTTTCCCCAATTTAATCAAAAAGTCAAGGTGGTCACGTTTGGTCTCAAGCAGGCTTTTATTTTGCTTATTTAACACGTTGCTCTTTATTAAACGTTCACAATGTTTCTCTAGTTTACTCCAGGTTTTACAACCACTTTAACTCTGGTAATACTTTTTGTCTAATGTGCACCTCCAACAAAGATACACGCGTCTGCACTCAATGAAAATCCTGCATTTGACCTCCGAGTGATCGTTGTGTTCAGTCCTAGCTGAGCTGTCATCACCTGCTGTTCCCCACAGAGCTCAAGCACTCGTCAACGTTAACACTGTCTCGAAAAGTCCCAACAATTTCACCTGCAGCTAACAACTCTCAACCGTGCTTTGACAGTACTTCTCATTTATCAGACAATAAACATGTTTTCTGTGTGCTCTGGCTGCTGATAAGAGACTAAGGCCAAGAGGTAAATGTGTCAGTGACTGGGGATATGCTCTGCAAGTGGGAAGCTTTAAATAGAGGTTTGTCATTGTTAGCAGTCAGGTCACTTCTCTCTCCTTCTCTCAGTGTGGTCCAAGTTCCTCAGTCCGTCTTGAGACGGCGATAAACACAAACTCTGAGCCCCAACCACTTTCTGACATTCTGGCACATTTGAAGCCTTGCGTTCCTCCCCGATGGTTCTTTTTTTCTGCGTGGTCCTTTTGAGATGCATATCCGTGTTGAAATGCATACACAGCGTATCAGTCTGCTCCCTCCTCTCGCTCTCTCACAGTATTTGAAGGTGGCTGGAGATTTTATTCTTGTCTTTTATTTGCATAAGTTTGTCTGAGATTTCAGCTCAGTGACAGTGTGCCAATCGACCTTTGAGAGGTTGCTGGACAAGTTCTGTCAGGGTAGATATGGATACCTATGGGAGTGTAATTTAATATCACACAGAAAATTTGAATTGTTTCCCAATGGAAGAGATTTTGTTGTGCCTGTCGTTGTACTCTTTGGTCACTATGAAGTTGTGTACCTTTTTATTAACTCTCCTCAGACACACACAGGAAAGCAAACACAAAGATGACACAATGACCTATCATAGATTATTCACACAGTAGAGAATGCCATTTCACCCTATATCCACTAGGGGGATTGAGGCAAACAGAGATGGAGTGCTTCAACAGAAGACATTCATATTTAAATGGTTGCTGTTTAATTTCATGAGGTGTATCACATCTAACAGCATCATTTGAAACACACAATAGATGTTTTTGTCGAAAAAAGGAGCAGTTAATCATTCGGTACTGCCAAAATAAAAGCTTAGTAAAGTTAAAACTTTGATATGAAAATAAAAAATGTGCCATCGGTCAATTTGAGAATGCAGTCCTTGTTACACTTCCTAACAAATTGTTCGTTTCATCATTGAAATGTGACTGTCAGTCCCCCTTCTTGGCCATAACCTCCTCTTATCACTCATATAAATGTTTTTGACTCAAGGTAGTCTTTGTTTGCTCTTAAAATGTAATAATTAGATTACCTAGGAGAAGCTACCAGCCAAGAATTTAGAATTATTTCGTAACATTGATCAGTCACTTATTTTCCTCAAAAAAAACTGAAGAGGTTAGAGTGTAACGGACCCACCAACCTTATCTGTCTCGGTAAACATGCATGATGATAACGGCTCATGCTCACAAACCGCCTCTCCTGATTGGTCACTTCTCGGGGCTGGGACTGGTTTACTCGCCTGTTAGACATAGACGGTGATGTCAGTGTCTCAGAGACGACAACAAAGAATGAAAGAAAGTGTGTTTGTTCGAGAGAGAATTACTGACTGAATCTTAGACCTTGTCCTCCCATCGCCAACTGTTACTTCAACTTTTCCTCCATTCCGCCCTCTCTTCTTGATGTTTTGTCATCACATGCTAAATCCACTCAACTTTCGGAGAGTGAAAATGACCCTTCCTGTTGTGTTTTCTAAACACCTTTATTTATGGAAGTCGCTGCCCTTTCTTTGCAGTCTGCTTAAATGTGTTTATGGCGGGTCCAGATGGTCGGTGGATGTACCCGTCACCGTAAATCTTGCGACACACAAGGCGCTCGCTTCCTGCTACCGCTTGGCTCGGCTGGTAGCCTTCTGCCGGGACTCTTTCTGTCCAAACTTAATTCCCCTACTCGTTCAAAGGGAGCCCCCTTCTCCTCAATCTTCTTGCGATGTCTTTGACTGCTCTGGAAGCCACCACTTCCACCCAACGGATGAGCAGATGGTGCCCTGGCACTAGCTTTTACTGTGTGGGTAGCTGTCTCTTTTGTGGTTATTCCTTAGTTACTCCTTTTTGGAAGCCTACCTTTTTAAGTACATGTAAAGAGAATGTGAGAGTAGGAGGAGTTGGACGTAGGTTTTGCGTATTTGTCTACTGAGCACATGTTTATTTGTCTGGCCGTGCACACCACCACTGCACCTCAATCACCATGAAGGCCAAATGGAGGAAGAGGTCCCCTTAAACTGACCTTTGATCAAAGATATCATTAGCAAACCTTTTTAAAGTTAGACTTCTTAATCCTCAATTATTAAATGGTTTAGAGCAGGGGTGCCCACACTTTTTCAGCTTGGGAGCTACTTTTAAAATGACCAAGCCCAAATGATCTACATACACCCTTGGTTTAGAGTGACAGGTGATACCAACTTGGTTCTGATTCCTGTCTGTTTTATCAACAATAAACCCCCAATAAATCCTTAATACTTTCCACATTTGCAACAAAAAATGTCTACATTTTCACACAACTTCGCCTCACAAGCTTTTTAATACGAAACTCGGCCCTGGTTCAAAACTACAACAACGTAACACTATTTGTTCCTAGTACATTGTTTCACATTAAAAACCCAAGTGCTTCTGTGTGAGACATTAGATCATTCCTTTCCAACATCTCATCACTTCTCATGAATTATACTGTACATTTTGCATGTGGTAGTTATCTTATGAAAGGTGCAACAATGCAGACACCGGTTGTCATTACCCACTAGTTCTTTCTACTTCCTTAGTGAGGGGCCTTTTGTGTGTTCTTTTATATGTATATCTGTGTGTGTGTGCGTGGATGTGAGAGAGAATGAATTTGTCACTGAGTGTTTGTGTGGCCATAATTCCCAGAGGTTGTGTGGCTAATGTGTGCTGTAAGCTGTGAAGTGGAAACTAAATGGAAAGAAATATTGGAACCCACAACCTGGGCACACACACACACACACACACTCACACACACACACACTCACACTATAAAACATACATGAGCAAAGTCTTGTACACTACTCATTTATGCTCATTTACCAAACAATATATGAACAAAACCTCAAATACCATTACAATATGTCACACTATAAAATAATACATGCACAATATGTTTAGTACCTTAGTAACTTGTTTTTCCTCAAAGCTTCGACAAAACTGTGAAGTCCAAACTGTGACCCAGGGGCCAATTTTAAACTCACAATATTTGATCTCCCCCCTCTTGGTTTGTTTGTAGTAATGTGTGTGCTAAAGTCGCCAAATATATGTATTTGCTTATGACCTTTGGAGCTATGTTTTTACCGAAAGTGCTCCACATAACAGGAGTGCACTTATTACAGGTGAAACTAGACGGATTATGTCCCGCTCTCCCTCTTTCGGTCCTTATGTAAGAAACATATTGAGTTGCCAGTGAGCCAGTTTAGTTAACATGAGTGCTCAGCAACCGTGTTGACTGCCTCTGGGGTGAGGAGCCAACAAACAGATGTGAACCAAAAGAGAGAGAGAGAGATATAGAGAAAGAGCCGCAAGGGCAGGTTGGGGAAGAAGAGTCAGACGTGATTTCTGTTTCTGATTTCCCCCCGCCTTCTGACTTGCCAGCTTAATGAGGAAATAACCTTTTTCTACAAGCAGCCGTATGGTGGAACAGGCAGCGCCCAACGTCAGTTTAACAGCAGCCACTGTGGCGAACGTACAATTGAGGGACAAGGGCCACAAATGCCAAACACGTCCACTGCTGGGCACTGTTTAAAAGGTAACCCACCACCATCCAACCCCCCGTGTACGCACACACAGAGAGGGGGGAAAAAACGACTCGGGCAGAAAATTTCGTTTTTCTGATTCTCTTCCTCTCCTTTTCTGTTTCTGGTTTAATGGGTCCCCCTCCCTACGACTTCACAAAAAAATACAAGCAAGTTCAGAAAAAAGGGGGACTCTCCCTCTCTGTCACTTGAAGTCAGTGAAATTAAGGACAGGGCTCTGACATTGTGTCCACACAACGGCACCCTTAAATCTCCCTCAGTTTCCTTTGGTATTATTATCATTTTCAACGGTTTCCAATTGAATTATTTTCAAAGGCCCTTTCAGAACCATATTTAGGTATGGGGGGGGGGTGCTTTTCTCAGGGGCGGACAAAACTCCTTAGTGTTATTTATCACTTTTCGTCCTCTCTGTTCCTTCCCCTCTTTAGCTCCATTCAGGAAACTGTAACATTGGTGGGTTGATCTGGAATCAAGGAATGCTATTTGGCTTTATGGAAAATGTCCCAGTTGACTGTGGTCAAACGTGATCCAGGTGCAGCAGACAACATCTGTTATTTGGAAAATAAAGTCATCAAGGAAAAAGGGCAATCAAACAGGCTGTTATGAAATATTCCACTTTTGATGTTGACTGCTTATCCTCACAGCTTGAATGTTGACTATCTACAGTGCTGGGGGGTGGCTCTCTCCCTCTAGAGTCACACTCTAGAGGGAGAGAGTAACCATAATAGTATTCTTTTGTTGTTTTTATCATTTTTCCTATATACTTTTATACAAGCCTAAAGTGCCCAAGCCATTGGAGTTTGATTTTCGATTTTCAAAGCAAGCCAATTTCCTTACTGGCATTTCCAGTAGTTGTCACTTATGTGTACTACTGAAAATAAAAGTGTCCGG